GAGGCCAGGCACTCTGGGGGTGGGCCCTTTTCTAAACCCTACCACAGCCTGCAAATCAGATATGAAGACCCACATCTCACAGACAGGAAGGTGGAAGCTACAGCTAGAAAACTGTATGCCCCAGAACACAGAGCACTTAGAAACTAGCAAACTGCCTGAGCGCCACGCAGGGAGGAGACCTGGGTGGCAGCCTAAGGTGGCTGGGAGGCAGCTCTGGCTGGGGCAGGAGGAAGCAGTTGCACTATAAAAGCCCTTTGGGCCTTGTCTTCCTTCAATGGGGCTATTTATCAGTGAAGCCACACTGTTGGAGCAGTCTGGACTCCTTGGCAAATCTCTTGCAAACGGCTTGGCAGGTTTTCCCTAATGGAACATCCAGAGAGAAAAAGTCCCCTGTCCTCTTCCCCGTCCCTCCTAACCTCCAGCCCCACCCACAGGGACCTTGTTTGCTCTGGCAGACAGGGAGCCCATTCAGAGCCCGCGGGGTGGCCCAGGCAGAGTCTGGCCGGGGAGCATGGCCCCTACGTCTGGTTAGTGGGGACTTTGTGGGGCGCGGTGCTCTAGAAGCCTCCTTTGCTTGGGGTGGGCGTGGGGCGCTGACTTTATTCTGGTCGATGAGAGTGACTGACTTTACAGTTTTGTCTTTCTCCCTAAGACAGAAAGCCACTTCCACCTGGTAGCATGAGGTGGTAGTATGAGGTCTGGCGGGCGGGAGTCTGGTGCCATCCTGCCACCGGAGGGTCGCCGGCCGGGCGGGACCGTGGTCTCTCCCAGCCACAGGGAAGGCGAGTCTACGGCCACCAGCAGCCCAGAGTGGGTGCCAGGCTGTGCACGTAGGGAGAATCTTTGCTGTTCCTGCTCCGGGTTTTGGACACCCACAGCTTCCTTGCTTAGCATTTTAATGACGCTGCCATCAGAGGGCTTTCTTTTACACAAGAAAGGGCGCCCCGACCTCTTCATTTTTCCAAGGTGGGAAGGCCACCTGACCTTAGGCTCAAACCACCTCTGACTGTGAAGGGCTGTGAACGAATCCCACAGCCAGCTGCGTCCCAAACTGCCCTGGGAGGTCAGACAGGGCCTCACTCCCAGCGCCCTGCACGGGCAGCCCAGCCCTGAGAGGAGGAAGCTCGCTGCCCAGGGGGGGCCCGGGGGAGAGCAGGCCCACCCACGGCAAGCTCGGGCTGCTCCGCCTCGGGCCTCCTGCGCGCCGTCACAGCGGCTCCCGCGCAGCCGAGGGCTCCTCTGCAGAAGTCCTGAAGGATGCGGAGCTACACCGCGGGCTTGTCTACTCCTGCCGACGGTGACGGCGCCCCCGCAGAGCCCCTTTCCCGCTCTGCTGTGGTTTGGAAGGTGGATAGGGCCTCATTCAGGGACGCGCACGGGCGACGGGAGCCCGCAGGGCAGCGAGCGGCGGGCGCGGACCACACGCGGCGACGGCTGGGCTGGGCGCCACCGCCCCCCTCTCACGCGCACGCACGCGCGCACGCTCTCGTCGCCCCCCTGACGAGCGCACGGCAGGCCGGGGCCTGCGGACGCCGCGCAGAGCGCCCACCGCCTCGTGCGCGCGGCGGGAGCGCGCGTTCCCCCGCTCGGGGCGGTTTGGGGGCGGACGGCCCCGTGGGCCCCAGCCGCACGGTCAGGGCTCGTGGGCGCGCGTCCCCGCCTCAAGCTTCCGGCGCGGTGAGCTGAGCCTGACGGGGGTTCTGCGCGAGGCGGGCGGCACCTCAGCTTTCCTTTCCCCTTTTGAACTTTTTCTTAGAGGGAGGCTCCAGTCCGTCCGCAGAGGACGAGGCCGTGGGTTCGAGAAATCCTCGTAGTGCTTCCTAGAGTTAACGCGGGTAAGGAGCGGCCCAGCCCCCAGCCCCTCGGCCCGATTCCTGGTTGGAGGCCCCTTATTAAAGGGGCGAGCCCCCCAAAGCGGCGGCCCAGGCACGCGTCACTGCCATCCGGTTGGCAAAGGTTGCCGGCATTTTTCATGGTTCTTGTTTTGTGCCCCGCACTGTGGAGTGACGTCCCTGGGGAGGGGGCGCGGCGGGATGCAGTCCCCCCAGGCCTGTCCCCACCTGCCTCGCGCTAGGGTGCCTTGAGGAGCGCGACCTGGAGAGAAGACTTGCGGGTCCTCTTTCTTCTTACACTCACACTTTTGGGGTTCTGGTTTGGTTTGGAGCAAAGAACCCACATAGTTCCAGAATGTCTCAGGGTTCTCCTGAAGCTTCCTCACAGTCTGTGACCATGCTGGCTTCCCCCGGCCAGAGCATGACCCACACGGATGGGGCGAGGGCCAGACTCGGGTTCCTGGCCACAAGGTCACTACGCATCCGGGCAGGTTTCCTCTCTCCATCCCCTCTTCAATTGGTAGAGCCAGCTGCCACCTCTGATGATGGTGTCACCTTCCACAATAAACTCACTCATCTTCGAACCCAAGAGCTGCTCTTTAATCCCTGGCCTTCCACCCTTGGGAATTCGTGTCCTCACTTCCTTGCAAAACAGATGCCCACCCTTCTCCTTATTCCATAGACTGTGCTCCTACACCCCCACCCCTCCCACTACTGCCGCGGGCCCTCCAGGGCACCAGGTGAGCAGAGGGCTGGCATAGCATCCACGTGCTCTCCTAGAGACTCAGCCTCTCATTTGTGGCTCCACTGGGCCACACCCAGGTCTGCCCTGTCCCAGGAGGGGCAGAAGAACACAGCTTCCCCCAGCAGTGAAACAGATCACTGATCCTGTAGGACAGTGTGAAGATAAAGTGAGAGTCCCCCTCTTTAAGTCGACAAATATTTATCAACTATCTATTACATTCCAGGCCCAGAAGCATTACCAGTTCCAAGATATTTTGCAAATATTCTGGAACACATTAGCAGAGGAAGGAGTAACTTTTGGGAGTGTTATAAACAGGTGTGGCAGAGACCGCAGCGCTCACAATATTTGACACCTGTGCTCCTCTCGTCCTCCTGGGCAACCACTGGACCACACCCCCAGCCTCCCTACAGTCAGATGGAGCCACTGACTGGGTTCCGGCCAAAGAAATGGGAGCAGACATAATATGTGCCACGTCCAGACCTGGCCCACAAAAACCTCCCACACAACACAAAAATTAACAAAATGGATCACAGACCTAAAAGTAAAACATAAAACTTTTAAGAAAAAACTGAAGAAAATCTTTGGGATCCAGGGCTAGTCAAACAGTTCTTAGGCTCGATAGAAAATCACAACCCATAAAAGGAAATAAATGGAGAGATTAGCTTTCATGCAAATTAAAAACCTTTGTTCTTAGAAAGGTCCTGTTAAGAAGACAAGTTACAGACTGGGAGAAAACATGTTCACCCCGTATTTCCAGATATCTAGAATACATAAAGAACTCTCAAAACTCAATAAGCAAAAAGCAAACAATCCAATCAGAAAATGGGCAAAAGACATGAAGAGAGAGTCTACCAAAGAGGATACAGAGAAGCTAATGAGCCCATGAAAAGGTGTGCAATGTTACTAACCAGCAGGGAAACACAAATTAAAATGACAGATAGCATCACACACCTATGGGATTAGCTCAAATGAAAAACAGTGGCAACACTAATGCTGGTAGGGTGTGCAGAAATGGCCTCCCTCACACATTGCTGGTGGGCCTGTCCAATGGTAGGCCATACTGGGACAGTTTGGCAGTTAAAACGACAAAACATGCAACTCTCTTCCACCCCAGCGGTTACGCTCCTGAGCACTTATCTCAGAGAAATGAAGACTTGTGTTCACACAAAGACCTCTATAAAAATGTTTACAGCAGCTTTATTCATAGTAGCCCAAAACTGGAAACAACCCAGGTCTCCTTCGGTGGGTGAATGGCTAAACAACCGTGGTCCAGCCACACCACAGCATACTATTCAGGAACAAAAAAGAACAAACTATTGCTACATGTAACGACCTGGAAGAACCTCCAGAAAATTATGCTGAGTGAAAATAATCTCAAAAAGTTATGTGATGTATGATTCCACATATATATAGTATTATTGAAATGACTATAGAAATGGAGAACAGATTACTGGTTGCCGGGGCTTAAGGTGGCGATGGAGGTAGGAAGGAAGCAGGTGTGGCTATAAAGGGGCAACCTGAGGGATCCTTGTGGTGATGGCCCTGTTCTCTCTCCTGACTATATCTGTGTCAGCATTGGCTATGATATCGTAGTAAAACTTTGCAAGATGTTACCATTGGGGGAAACTGAGTGAAGGGTCCACAGGATCTTTCTGTATTATTTCTTACAACTTCATATAAATCTACAATTGTCTCAAAATAAAAAGTTTAATTACTGCTCCCCCTACAAATACTCCTCCTCCACATGATCTTTGCCCTTTCCCCCTCCACTGGACAGATGGAGACACTCCAAGGACTTTGAGGAGGGCAAGGCACAAGAAGAAAGGGGTCTGGGTCCCTGAATGGCCGTGTGGAGGAGAGTCAGCCCCTCGCTGCCCCGTACTGAGCTGAGATGTAATCAAGAAAAAGCTGTTTTTGTGTTAAACCACTGACAGCTGGGGACTGTTTGTTACTGCAGTCACTCCTTACCCTGCTAATGTCACATTGGAGGATCTGGGATTTTAACCCAAATTCAGGCTTCACAGGGAACCGACAAGTATGCTGATTTTTCCATGAAACAAACTATTTTGATTTCTGGTGCGAAGAAATTACCCTATCTTCCATCTGTGTGAAAACCGGGGATCACCTCCTGCCTTCAGCACTTTCTGGCTTTTCGAGTTTGAGTCCATCACTGGACTTCCCAAAGCCTCACTCTCCCGACTGCAAGACTAGGGAATTGGGAAGGTGGGTGCATGTCTGTGGAATGACGGAGCGCTCTGTGCACGCAGAGATCTGGGGGTGTGTCCAGCAGCCTCCTCTTTGTTCTCCAACAAAGTTCATCCAACTCCTCTGGCCTCCAGGTTCTTCTGTCTTAGCCCCAGAGAGACCTTCTTTAAAAATGAACCTGATCAGTTGCTTTAGTTGACAAATAACCACAACAACAATGACAGAAAGAAAGTAATGCTATTATTAATAGTGACAGCATCATTTATCAACCACCTACTGTGTTCCTAGTGATACTTGCAGGCAACCTGTCTACCCTCGGGCTCGTGCTGGCGTTTCCCCGACCCTCCAGGTGGGTGCTGCTCCACCACCCTGCTCCCCTTCACCTGGGCCCGCCGAGGCTGCTTCCTGCCCTTCTGGCAAGGTCTGTTGTGGTTCAGGAAGTGCAGCAGGGGCGCGATAACGTTAGATGGGTGAGTGGATCCCTTCATCTACCTTCTCGTCTTCTTACATCTTGGTCTTGATACGCTGGTGACAAAGGGACATGGGCCTGCCTGGGCTTTGGAAAACATAAGGAATGCAGGACAGGTGGGTCCATGCTGCAAAGGGTTTCTCGGTGTGCCATGCAGGGAGGATGCCTTGATGGAGGGCCAGACACAGTGCTACTTCCTCCTGCCCCGTGGTCTTCACTTCTCTCTGGGGCCTTGGTAGGACCCCTCAGTCATAGCCTTAGATAGAGAACTGAAGTTGCATCCTGGCAGCCTGCGGGCATGCCCTCGCCCCCAGACACAGCGCTGTTTCCTTCGGCCGACACAGGGCAGGAGGGTGTGTGTATGTATTTAAATTGACTTAGTTGCCAATAGCTTAAACATGGGAGACCTGTCAACTGCGGGCAGCCCCTTTGTGGCCATGACTGGGGGAAGCTGCCACCTCTAGACTTGCAGGTGCCCTTCAATTCATCTGTCCCCACCTGCCTCTGCTATGGATGTCATCTGTCTGGCCCTCAGATGTTTGAGGCTGTGACCTCAGAAAGAGGGTGTAGATGGGGCCTGGGTGTTACCAGCTCCTGAATGGCTTTACGTGACAGGCACTGGGTGGAGTGCCTTGTATACATCATCTTAGTCACATAAAATGTCCTTCTGCAGAATAGGAAATTCTGACGGGCTCTTCTTAGGATGAGTTCCGAAAGCTGGGGGCCCAGACCTCAGTAAGGTCAGGATGAAGTTTCCCTGGTTGTACCAGTTCTATTGCCACGGTAACAAATTACCACAAACTTAGTGGCTAGAAACAACACAAGTGTATTATCTTGCAGTTGTGTAGGTCCGAGGTCTTCCTGGGCTAAGGCGAGGTGTTGGCGGGGCTGTGCTCCTTTCTGGAGGCTCTGTGGAGAGTCCACTCCCTTTCCCAGCTTCTAGGGGCTGCCCTCTTTCTCCCTCTGTCTTCACAGCTGCGACAGTGGTGGAGTGCTGCTCACATCACGCCACCCCAACGTCCTCTCCTGCCTCCTCCTTCCACTGATGATCACGCTGGACTCATGATTCCACTGGGCCCATCTGGATGACCGACGATAATCTCCCCATCTGACAGTCTGCTCGTGAGCAGCCTTAATTCCACCGGCTGCCTCAGCTCCCTTTTGCCACGTCAGGGAGCATACTCACAGGTTCCGGGGAGTAGGAAGTGGCCCTCATACCTACCACACTGGTCCACGGCAGAATGACAAAAATGACAGTGTGCCGCTTTTCCCATGAAGACAGTTTTTAAAATTATAATTTTAAAATGATATGCCTCTGAATGTATGCCTTCTCACTTTGGGGGGATGGGCTGTTAAATATGAAATGTATCAAGTATGAAATGTCCTTTCGAGAAAAAAAGGAAAAGTTGGAAAACTGCAGTTTTCCTGGTCCATGAAGTTCCAACTTGTGGGAAACGATACTTTGGGCTAAGTAGTCCCACAGACGCACTCCCCAGAGCATCACAGGCACGTGCCAGAGGCTGGCAGCTCGGGGTGCTGCTGCAGGCCTGGGGTCCTCCACGTTATGGAAATATGAGGGTGCCAATGACAGGTGCTTCTGATCCCGTTCCGATCGGCTCCCTGATCAGGACACATGTTGGGCTGAGGCGTGGGGCCCAGGCTGTCAGCAACCACAAGGTAGCCACAAGAGGTAGGCTCCTGTGACATGTGTCACCCTCCATCGCTGACAGGTGGGCCAAGGGGGACGTGTATACACATATGCTTATCTGAGTCTGGTGAGGTTCCATGGATGGGATAAGAGGGCTGTGTGGTCTTTGACAAGTCATTCAACCTCTCTGAGCCTGTTTCTGCATCATCAATAAAATACAGAGCATAACACCTTCCTCATGGGGCTTATGAGGCTAATGAGATCCTAAATGAGAAGAACTTCATGTAGTCCACACAAAGATTCTATATTTTAAATAAACAAAGACCAGTTTTTACCTTACCTTGTGGAAAATACTCTTCACATGTTTGAGGGTTAAAAATTACTGTAATCTTTAATATAATGTTTCATGGTTTTTGCTGTTGTCATTTTTCTTAGAGAAACAAGTTAAACCAGAAGCAACTTTAAAAAATCTTCTAAGTCTGGTGGGCGTGTCCAATGGTTTTGATGTCAAGATGATGACAAATTCTCTCCAGAGATGGTATAAAATCCAACCATTGACAAGCAGGTGAATTTAGTTCAAAAGTTGTGTCTTTTCATACTTTGAGAATATCTAATGTTCTACTAGTTCCACAGGTAAGATTTACCTACTGATGAGGACTTTTAAAATATCAGTAAATGACTTAAAAGATTAGAAAGAAAGAAAAAGAGAGAGAGAGAGGGAGAGTTTTGGTTTTGGTTGATTGGCTTTAAAAACCGTATGAATTCCTTTTTTATAGAAGGTAAAATTAACAGATACTGATGAATCTATAAAGAATTATAAAAGAGAAAATAGTAATCACCCTTATTCCCACTGCCGAGAAATAAACACTGCTGATATTTGGTTGTATTTTCTTGTTGTTTCATTTTTAACCAGCAAGAATAAGGCCCTTTTCTGCTGTCCTGATACCCTACAGAATCCCAGCAATGCAGACAACTGACTTTAGTTGAACAATAGAAGACCTTTTGGGGTTTTTAATCATTAAAAATATATTTTTACCCTCCAATATTTCTAGATGTCCAGCAATATGTGCTTTGACTCCACTCATATTTTCCATTTTTCCTCTCTTCTAGAAATTCCTGGAATCTTCTACCACTCTACAGCACTAGTCTAAAAGAACACAGCTTTTAGAACTAAACTGGGATCCATCCATGGCAACAGGTGCAGAGGAACCCAAGGAGAATGAAGGTCAGGAGAGAGGGGGACGCATGAAGCCCGTTACACTTTTCCGTGTCCTTCGGCATTTGTTCTGTGACCACTGTGGAGCACAGTGCCTCGGGCTCAGCCCTTGCCCCCTCTTCCTTCTGGCTTACTTGCGTGATCTACGGGGCTGGCCAGTAAACAGCTTTACCAGACTCTCCTGCACCTGAGCTTCTGCACGTGAGTTTGAGTGTGACAGGTGTGGAAAATGAGAGTGAGGCGGGTCAGCATCTGCAGTTTCTGGGCAGGCTGGTGGACATCAGGAGGCACAGGGGCCTTCTGTTTCACTGGGATGGCTATAGTGAGCAGCTACGATTTCTGGAGACTGAAGCAGGTGTGGCTGGTCCTGATTCCAGAGAGGCAGCAGTGCCCTGGCAGCTGGTTCTGCAGGGGAGCTTTGGGAACCATCCCTGAAAGCTCTGCCTAGAGGTGGTTTTCAGCCCTCCCACTTATTCTAGAAGCCATTTTGCTGAATGAAGCCCAACTCACACTAGCTGGAGTGGAGTCTGTTCTCTGCAGCTGAGCCTGCACTGCTCCTGCTGTTCCACAGGACCTGTCCGGTGAGCATCTGCTGTGAGCCCACACTGTGCTGCGCAAGAAGGGGCCCTCAGGGAAGCACTGGAACAGCTCGCAAAGTGCTGCGCTGAAGCTAAGTTAATCCTCTCCATAGCCATGTGAGCTAAGAATTATTTTCACTCCTCTCAGACAGAAGAGGAAACTGAGTCACAGGGGGATTAAAAAACTTACCTGAGATCACTGAGACAGAAAGAGGCCAAGCCAGGCTGCAGTCTGGCTCCAGGGCACAAGTCTCCATCGCCACCCTCTACTACCTGCCTGTGGGGTCTGTGGTCCAGGCAGAGTCCAAAGGTTGGTCAGATGTCTCATTTCTTTTGCAGAGAATAAAACCAAACACCATAAGTATGCAGTTATGAAGTGGGCTGTTTTGTGACTCTTTGATTTTGTTCATCTTAATTTGAGGGTTTATCAATCAGACCTGAGAGATTTCAAACCTGAACTCAAACAAGGGACCACAGAGATCTCTCTCCTATCGTGTTTTCCACGTGGAGCATCCCCACTCTCTCCCCCAGCCTTCTACAGCATCATCCCTCAGCAGAATGATAGTCCACAAGTAGCCTGTGTAGCTCTCAGAAACTGATTTCTTACATCCTACATTTGAAGTCTGGAATATTAACCAAATAGTGCTACCACCAAGGACATGTTCAGTCTGTCCCTAAAGAGGGCTGGGAGTGTGGCTCACACTCACCATGTAGTTCTTGCTTTCTTTGTAGGGGAGATTAGCAGGCAAAATTGCTTTTCTCTACTCCTCCACAGAGATAATTTATCACTATTGAAGAGTGGTATGCTTCTCTACTTGCTTGGTTTGGAATTGCAGCAGACATCCAAACTTTTGCAAAATTCCATTGCTTTCTGCATGGAATGCAACTCAACGCATCGATGTCTTCCATAGAGCAGAGCCAGAGCCATGTTAGTAATGGAATCCTCAGAGCCCGCTGACACCCAGAGCCTTGCTGTTGACGGCCTCAGTTGCTCAAGTGCACGATTGCACTTTACAGGTCTAAGGTCTTCCCTCAACCCCCGCCCTGCTCCATCCAGCACAAGAAGATGCAGTGCTCACTTGATGGAATTAAAACATGCCAAAACCCCACAAAAGAATGCAGGCTGGGTGTAGCACTCATCTGCTAAGTATGAAATCTTTCCCTGAGTGAGTTCTCCACAAATCAGGTCAGTCCCGACAGCCGACACTACCTTAGGCAGGGAGGGGCCGACGGCGCCATTAAAAACTCCTGCCAGCGCTTGCCTCAGACAATGTAAATACAAAACTGGTGCTTGTGTTTATTTAAAGTTATTGGCATTGGGCTCATTCCTGGTAGACAAAGATTATATTGTTTACAACAGCATCCAGATGATGGACAAGACTTTGTATAATATAAATCGAACTATGCAGGGGGGGCACCCCTTAGCATAAACAACTTCCCTCAAGCAAAACAAATCCTGCCAAGATTCAAGCTGGAATCCATTTATTACCCGACTTCAAGCTGACTTGTTTCAACATTCAGCAACTGCAAAAGCAGAAGGATAAGAACTGATGTCCGAGGCATTACCAGCCAGTCCTTTAACTTCTAACGCTTTTTGCAAAAGGTGTTTCTTGCTTTGTCATGTTGCAATGTACATTTCCTGCAAATGCTGTCATTCTTGTCACTTCACAGCATGGTGTGGCGGTGGACCATGCATGCATATAGAAGGTGAGCAGGAGCAAGGGGACACCCTGAAGAGTGCCACTGTCCTTTCAAAAGCATTTGGGGGGCTGGCCCCCTGGCCGAGTGGTTAAGTTCGCGCGCGCTCCGCTGCAGGCGGCGTAGTGTTTCGTTGGTTTGAATCCTGGGCGGGGACATGACGCTGCTCATCAAACCACGCTGAGGCAGCGTCCCACATGCCACAAGTAGAAGGACCCACAACGAAGAATATGCAACTATGTGCTGGGGGGCTTTGGGGAGAAAAAGGAAAAAATAAAATCTTTAAAAAAAAAAAAAAAGCATTTGGCTCGGGTGTAAACCCAGAATCGGGAAACATAGTGAGGGTAAGGACACAGAGACAGATATTCAGACTTAGGGGTGAACGTACAGAGCTCCAGCGGACGCCAAAGCCTGCCATGAGCCCTGTGGCTGCTGGGATTCGGCCTTGCCTGGAATTGGGGACAGGGCCTTGTTGAGATTTATTCACTTGGGAGCCGAAGGGCCTCCTGGGAAAGACTAACCCGAGTGAAGGCAGAATCTAGCTACAAGACAGCCAGAGACTGTGAGTCGGCGGCAAAGGCCCTCGCAGGAACAATCGTGCCTGGGAACACTGACCCCGAGAAGAAGGGGGTGTGCACATGGGAAGGAGGAACAGCGGCGGTGAAGGTCACAGGGGGAGGCACCCAAGGAGTGAAGACACTGGGTGTGTGGTGAGGGAACACACAGGAGGAGGATCTGGACGCTGCCTCAGCACTGGGGGCAGCGAGTGAGCGTCTAAAGCGAGCGCCTCGCTCCAGCTCCGCGCAGGAGACGGGATCGAGGGAGGGAGGGCGGCCGGTGCGCTCAGACGCCCGCGTCCCTTCGGAGCCCTCTCCCTTCTCCGTGTGTGTCTCCGTCGGGTTAGGACTGTCTTTCCCTCAGGGCCCGCGGGGTGCTGCACACGGTGGGATTCCGTGTCGTGGAGGGACTCCCTCGCTCCGTCGGCCCGCTTGCCCCCTGCTCTCCGCGGCTGCGCCATCTTCCTCGCCCCCTTGGGGCGGCCGGCCTTCTGAGTGCCCGTCTTGGTTATTTACAGGCTGTTATGACTCCACCCTTTGGAAAAACCTCTCTGAAGCCGCAAGTCACGCACAGAAGCCACGTTCACCCCGTGTCCTCATTGGCCCGAACCAGTCCCGCGCCTACGTTGAGACCTTTGGCATCTGAAGACAGGTCTTTCTCCCTAGTCTGGGCCCCACCTCCATCCTGGCTGGCTTCGCTGTCCATGAGCCTTAACTCCACTGGCCCTCACCTTCCCAGGCATGTGCTCTTTGGTTTCACCTAGACCTCCAGGCCTGTGACTTCCCCATTTGCTCCTCACCCAGGAGGCACCTTCTGGCACAAATTCATTATCTTCTTCTCATGCCACCAACCCCCCACCTTCTGCCTCTTTGACCTCTGCCACAGCCCACCTGCCACACTTTGACTCTGGATCAGTCCCGCTGTCCACCTTCTCTGCTCTCATACTTGGGCAGGATATTGGTTATCTGTTGCGCATGACAAATTACCCAAAAGCTTAACAGCTTCAAACAGCAAACACTTATTATCTCATACAGCTTCTATGAGCTTAGCTGGTGGCCATGGTTCAGGTTCTCTCATGAGGTCACAGTGACCATGTTGGCCAAGGCTGCAGTCATCTGAAGGCTTGACTGGGGGAAGGGTCTGTTTCCAAGATGGCTCCACTCATGGCTGTTAACAGGAGGCCTCAGCTCCTCAGCCACAAGGGCCTCTACATAGGAATGCTTGAGCATCCTTATAACATGGCAGCTGGCTTCCCCCAGAACAAGTGACCAAATAGGAAGTCACAAACTCTTTTGTGACCTAAAGTTGCAAGTCACACACTGTCACTTCTGCTACATTCTATTCCTTAGAAGCAAGTCACTAAGTCCAGCCCAAGGTCAAAGTTAGGAGAATTAGACTCCCCCTTTTGAAGGGAGGAGTGTCAAAAAATTTGTGGACATGTTTTAAAACCACCACAGTTCACTTCCTTCTTCTCTTCTCATGACAGCAATCACTCTACTTTCCTGCCCTGTTGACTGCAGCCAGAGCCAACTTGTGAAATCTTAACTCTGGATCCATCTTGTCACCCACCTTCTCTGCTTCTGCTCTTGGGCAGCTGAGCCCTGATGGAGAAAAATCCCACAAACGGGCCAGGGGGAACATGCTGATGCATTTTCTCCAGCCTAGCTGGGCTCTTCCTCCTTCTGGTGCATCTTCTCTGTGACCCCAGGTGACTCTCACTGCTGTGTCTTGGACATCCAATATGCACCTCTTTCCTCAGTACCCATCCACCACGCACCACTCTCTCCCTCTCAGTGGGCAATTTGCCTCTGACTCCATTGATGACATCTGCTTCCTCCCCTTCTTTCACAAGTGAATCTGTATCATAAACTATTTTCCCTCCCATCTTCAGGGAAGAAGGGCTTCTCTTCTTTTATTCAAGCTTGATCATTCCTGATCCAATTCCCCATCCTTCCAGCAATCAGCACATATTCCTCTCAATCTTTCCCCTTTCTACTGGGTTCCATCTCCTACCGCCGCAACTATGAACCAACTCATGTTTGTTCCAGCCTTTTCTTTTTTTTAAGACAAAACAAAATAATAATCTATTTTTGGGCAATCTCCTCGCCCCCTCCCAAGACACACATAGCTACCCTTCAGAGACTGTCCTATATCTCCTTCACTTTACAGCTGAGCTTCTAGAAAGAGTGGTCTGCACTCTTGGTTTCTTCTTCCACCCTGCCCACCACCACCCAACTCTCAACCCATGGCAACCCTCCACCCTCGCTGGCCCCCATGATACTGTCCAGGGCCACCACACAGCCAGCTCCACAGGCACTAGATTGTCCTATCTTGTATGGCCTCCGAGTAGCCCTGGACGCCCTGGTGACACCACTTTCCCTTTTGGGTGGACCTCCTTACCCTACTTTCCTGGGGCTCCTTTGCTTCTTTCTAGAATGTTCTTGGTCTCTCTGAGGAATTTCATCAAGCTCATGTCATTCTCACCCAGGTTTCCTCCACTGCACTTCTAGCCCAGTCCTTGTTTAGGAGCTCCAAACATAGTGCCCAGCTGCCCTTGGCACTGCTCCCACCATGTCACACATGAAGCTTAACCTCAACATGTCCGAAACTAGACTGACCACGTTTCCTCCCAAACTTGGCATTCCTGTTCACCCAGTTGCTCAAGCTGGAACCTGGGAACCTTCCAACTTTCTCCCATATGAGCAATTAATTTAGTAATCTTGGAAAACAAAGCAACAACAATAACAAAAATGGCTGAGGCCATACCACTGGGATTCACAGCTGCCTCTACCACCTCCCAACCTGCTAACACCGGGCAAGTCTCCTAACCTCTGCGCCTCTGTTTTCCCGTCTATAAACTGGGCACAACAACAGTACCTACTTCACGAGGGTGCTGTGCCAGAGAGTAAGAGTGGAATAAGGGTCGGCTCTGACCATCAGTCCTCTTCGCCCCCAGGGACAAACACTGCCCAGAAGTGCTGCTGGTCAAGGTCTGGTCCACAGGCTAGGGCCAGTTTGGGAAATGTTTGTCATTGGTCTGTAATTAGATAAGTACAGAAGTTGAAAGTAAGCATTTAAAACTGTTGTATAGTAATTTGACAGGATGATTTTATACCTGTTGAACGTAATAAGAAAAAATTGAGCTTCACTTCACACCCATTAGAATGGCTACTATCAAAACGCAGAGAATAACAAGTGTAGGTGACGATGGCAGACACTGGGGCTCTTGTGCACGGAGGACGGGAATGTAAAATGGGGCAGCCACTGTGGAAAACAGTATTGTGGCTCCTTGAGAAGTTAAAAATAAAATTACCATATGATCTAGCAATTTTACTTTGGGGTGTACCCCCAAGAACTGAACGCAGGGCCTTGAAGAGAGATTTGTACACCCATATTCATAGCAGCATTACTCATAACAGCCAGAAGATGGAAGAAATTCAAGTGTCCACTGAGAGATGAAAAGATACACAAAATGGGGGAAATTATCCAGCCTTAAGAAGGATAGAGGGGCTGGCCAGTGGCACAGTGGTTAAGTGTGCATGTTGCGCTTCAGAAGCCCAGGGTTCGCCAGTTTGAGTCCTGGGTGTGGACATGGCACTACTTGGCAAGCCATGCTGTGGTATGTGTCCCAGGTATAAAATAGAGGAAGATGGGCACAGATGTTAGCTCAGGGCCAATGTTCCTCAGCAAAAAGAGGAGGATTGGCAGCAGATGTTAGCTCAGGGCTAATCTTCCTCAATAAATAAATAAATAAATAAACCAATTTTTTTAAAAAAAAGAATATAAGTTCTGACACATGCTATAGCATGAATGAACCTTGAGGACACTGCACCAAGTGAAACAGGCCTGTCACAAAAGGACAAACATTGTATGATTCCCCTTATATGAGGCATCTAGAAAAGTCACATTCATAGAGACAGAAAGGAGAATCCAGGTTGTGAGAAGCTGGGGGAGGAGGGAGTGGGAGCTGTTGTTTAACAGGAGGTTTCAGTTTTGCAAGATGGAAGAGTTCTGGAGATTGTTTGCACAGCAACGTGAACGTACTTAACACTACTGAAATGCACACTTAGAAATGGTTAGGATGGCATGTTTTATTTTATGTGTATTCTACCTGAACTTGAAAATTTTTCGTTAAAAAATTAGGGCTTATATTTTCTATGCCTTTTTGTGTGTGTGTGTAACGAAGGTTGGCCCTGAGCTAACATCTGTCACCATCTTCCTCTTTTTGGCTTGAGGAAGATTGTGGCTGAGCTAACATCTGTGCCAATTCTCCTCTGTCTTATGTGGGACCCCACCACAGCGTGGCTCAACCAGCGGCACTAGGTCGGCAGCCGGCTCGGGCCTGGGAAACCTGAGCCTGCCAAACCTGGGCCTCCGAAGCAGAGCACGCGCAGTTAACCACTACGCCAGCGGCCGGCCCCTGCATGTATTTTAAAGATTTCTTTTTCCTGGATTCATTTGACCGAAGCACCTGTCCCCAAATGATTGGAAACAAAACAGAACAGCGCTTCCCTGCCACCTACAGACGCTCCCAGAGGCGCTGCCCGCCCGCACTTGCCCCCGCGGGCAGGTTCTCGCCCGGCCGGCCTTCTCCTTGAGGGCCCGTCCCCCGCGCTCTGCTCCAGCGAGGCCTTCCAACTGCCGCCCGACTGCGCCCCTCCGCGCGCCTCCGCCCCGCCTCCGCACGGCGTCCCGCGCCCCCGCCCCGCCTCCGCACGGCGTCCCGCGCCCCCGCCCCGTCTCCGCCCGCGTCCCTCCGCGCGCTTCCGCCCCGCGTCCCGCGCGCCCACCTCTTGCTCGTCGTCCAGGGCCCTTTTCGGGACGCCCCTCCGAAGGCCAGGCAGCGCCCGCCGTGCGCGCGCCGCGGGGAACCTCCTGCGGGGACGCCAGCGGACCAGGGTCGCCGGGGGCATGCCAGGCGGCGGGGGGCCGCAGACCCTGGATCAGGCCGGTGACGGAGGTGGCGGTGCAGGCGCCGCTTTCGGGCCGCACTGTGGCCGTCCCTCCTTCCGCTCGGGATAAGGAGGGAGGCTTCAGGCGCCTTGTCCGGTGCCCGCCCGAGGCCGGAGAACGCGGGCCGGTCCCCTGCCCCCGCCCCCGCCCCCTGCACGGTCCTTCGTGCTGCCCGGCCGCCTGCTCGTGCACAGAGGGCAGCGTCGTCTGAGGCAGCCCGCCGGCCTGGATGCCTGGTTCCCAGCCTCCTGGCGGTTTTTTTTTTAATAGCAAAAAAAAGTCTTTATTATGCATAGACCCACTTTAGGAATTAGGAATTATTTATGGTTTCCTGCAATCTTCCCAGGTAGACTATGTCAGATTCAAGGTGGAAACTGTGAGACCAAATCCTACTTGAAACAGTTTCTTGTGGTTTGCATTAATAACTGGGGACTGGCGAGTTTACAAAAACAAAATGAATATTATAATTTGATGGGTAAGCAAATAAATTACTTTTATAGGATTTAGGCTCTTTCCACGGAAGCCTTGATTTATCCAAAGAGGCTCCCGTACTTACAGGTTGCTAACTTGCCAGCAGGCAACCCTTGAGGGCTGGTTCTTAGATTAAACAGGAGGCTGGGCCCCGGCCTCTGCAGACTTCCTGCTTAAATGGGGATATATACAATCTTTGATAAGTAGAAAGATTCTTTGTTGACATTTTTAAGCCATCTGGGAACCGTGAGAATTTGAGATTTGACCTACATACAAGGGCCTTTTCACAGGCCATCAAGGGCCTTGCAGTGTGTGGGGTACAGTGGCATTTTAGAGGTGGCTAGCATTGTATCTTGGCCACACAGAAGCTCTCTGGCTCTGCCCGGTCCCTGGCTCCTGGTGGGATCTCTGCTGGTTTTAAATTGCTGTGAGGTAGGAGCATGACATTCCTGACAGATACAAAGGCTCCCACACACCCACTATCAGAGCTGAAGGGCTGCGTTTGTCTAAATATTCAAACAAACCCAGGGGGGGATATATGATGAGAGACAAAGTCTTGGAATTCCAGGCACCAGATAAGGAAGCCCGTTGCAGCCACAGAGCCAGATCGTCCCAGGGTTCCTAGGAAGTGTCCTCTGCAGGAGCTGTCACTGGCACAAACCCTCTGAGGAAAGAGAAGGCTGGGGAAAGGAGCCTGAGCCGTGCTAAGTGGAACTTCTGTGAGAGCAAAGCAGGCCTTGCTGGGGGCTGCGTTTGCCCCAAGTGAAACGGGGCTGTGCTTTCCTGCAGGGTTGAGTGGGAGACGAGGGAGTGGCTTTTCCGCTCTGGGCCCTGGTCTTTCCTGGATGAGGGAAGTATATGGAGTGCTGGTCTCAGGGCACAGGGCGTGTGTGGAATGTTCCCAGTGTGGGATACCCAGGTCCAACCAGAGAGCTTTGAGAAAGGGGAACACAGAAGCTGCCTCCTGGTCCCGGCCCCCAGGAGTCAGCAGCGCTCAGCTGCAGGCCTCCCCCGTGGCCTGTGCCATGTCAATGGCTTCTGACATGCCACTGACGAGTTGGGGGCCTATGATTTAATTTTTCTATCCTTATTTGATTCCAATGTCGTCCACGGTGAGTTGGAGCTAATAAAAAAAAATGGTCGGAATGTCTGTGTGCTGTTAATGTAGACGGAGGATGGCCAGCTTGGTCCTCCTGGAGTGGGCGCAGATGAAAGGCTCCCAGACCAGGTCGGGGGCGGGGCGCGCAGGTGGTCAGGGCTGCAGTGACCCGTGAAGGCTTGTGTTACTGCTAAGCTGAACTAGGCAGTGGATTCCCAGGGATGGGGGAGCAAAGAGGGCTCAGGGCTCTGCATACTTACTTTTTATTTGCAAACGGTTATATAAACGCATATGCAAGCAGGTTGCTGTCCTGAGAGCTCTGGCATGTAGCCAACTTATCTCCTGGGTCCTGGTGCTTGGGTACCTCAGCTTTCTGGCATTTGGAAGGCAACTTGATTGGAGCAGGCTGTGGACCTTGCTGATGCCAGGAAATTATTTTCTCTTGGATTCAAGCCCTCCTTTGCTTGTTGAGAAAGGGTGAGAATTTGTTCTGGATGAGCATCAGCAGGAGATAGATCATTCTGGTTACTTTGGATGCCTCCAGGCACCCAGCCCAGACCTCTAGGTGTCTTGGTGTACAAGCAACAATTTAGACCTTGGCTCAAGTGTCACCTCCTTAGCGTGACCTTCCCTGACCAGCCTGCCTTAAAAAAAGACAAACCAAACAAACAGACAAAACAAAACAACATAAAACAACCTATCCTGGCCTAGTTCATTCATACCACCTAGCCCTATCTGGAAATATTTATTTCTTTTCCTGTTTGTTATCTCTGTCCCACTAGACATGAGCTCCCTGAGAGCAGGGACCTTGTTTGCATGGCCACTGCTCTATCCCTGGCATCTGAAACAGTGCCTGAAATATAGTAGATGCTTAAAAAAATTCTTGGATGAGTGAATGTGCTTTAAAATGTACACAGGATTTGTTTTTATCAGGTTGGTAAGACACTCAGAAATGATTATCATGACTGTCATGAAGAAAGAAGTCTATACTTGTAGGCCTGCAGGAACAGGAGGCATGGCCCGCCACACAGGGCCACATGAGGAAGCACGAGGGTGTGACAGGAGGCAGAAGGAGAGAGGGGAAGTTATGGGGATGAGCCTTTACTGTGATTTTCACGGGAAGGAAGGGGCAGGACAGGGTGAGCAGCTGAGCAGGCTTGGGATTGGCCAGTTTAAATAGCTCTGGGCTATGGGGTGGCCCCTCATTGACTAGTGTCTGGTGATTAGAGCAGAGGAATATTGCCTTCTGGAGTGTAAAAGCCAGAGAGAGGAGGTGGTTTCTAGTGTGGGCTCTACATGGGTTAGTTTGCATATGAAAGATGTGCAGGCAAGTTATTTGCTGTCTGTAGGAATTAGCCAACTCTGGGAGGGGCAGTCCCTCCCTGGGTCCCCAAGGCCCCTAGATGTCAAAGTATCATAAAATATAGACAATAAAAAACATGTGTGGGAGACTGGAATTAGCCACCCCAAGATATGTCTCTTTGGCGTGAGGATTATTTGGGGCTGGTTACTTTTAAAAACTGCAGACAACAGAGAAACTCTGAAAAGTAGAAGTTACCCTTTGTAAGAGATATTTACATTAATAAGGGAAATCTCCATCTGTAAAGGTGTCTCCCTCTCTGTACCAGGAAGAATGGGGCTGACCTTATCTCTAGAAACTCTTATCAATGCAGAAGGCAAGGACTTAAATCTGCATAATAACCTTACCCTTGCTTACTGTACTTTTCTGGTAATGTCCTGTAACTGACTCCCCCCAGCCCCAACATCCTCCTTTGTCTTTAGCTGAGGCTGGTATTTAAGGGGAGAGCTTCCGCCATTTTGGCAAGTTGCTCAGTTTTTGTGGGTCTCTCCCATGTACACATGTTATAAAGCTTTGTTTGATTTTCTCCTGTTATTCTGTCTCATGTGAATTTAATTCATTGTCCGGCCAGAAGCACCCAGAGTGGGTAGAGGAAATGTCTTCCTCCCCTACACATGATTAATACAGAATGACTCTTTGACATGCATAGAAATGTAAAAGTTGTGGGTGCAGATGTTTAGAAAATGTGAGAACCAAACATACTTGGAATGACTTAACTGGGGGTTTGTTCCATTTTTATTTGTCCTGAAATCAACATGTTCCCTTTGGGTGGTTTTGCTGATGGAATCCTCAGTGGGGAATGATCTTTTCTGACACCACCTCTCCCAAACTTTTTATTGGAGTGTAACATACATACAGAGAATGGCATCTATCATAAGCTACAGCTCATTAATGTCCACAAACTGAACACACCCAGGAAAATAGCACCCAGATCAAGAAACAGAACATTGCCCACAGTTGGAGGCCCTCTTGTATCCCCTCCATTCCAGCGGTAACCACCATCCTGACATCTACTAGCATAGGTTAGTTTGGTCTGTTTTTTACCTTCACATAAATGCATTCATATTGCATTTAGCTTTTTTCTAATTATATTTGTGAAATTCATGCATATTATTGCATATGGTTGAAGATTGTTGCTTCTCATTGCTGTACAGTATCCCATTGTGCTGATACACCGCATTTATCTATTCAAATGTTAAGGAGCATTTGGGAAATTTCCAGTTTGGGACTATAATCCCTCCAGTAACTTTTTGCCAAACATGCTGATTTCAGGACAAATAAAAATGGAACAAACCCTCGGTTGTCTTAGGTCACTCCAAATATGTTTGGTTTTCACATTTTCTAAACATCTGCATCCACAAGTTTTACATTTCTATGCATGTCAAACCTTTTTGCCCACTGGTGTGTCAGAGTCTTAGTTGTGAGCAACAGAAGTTACTCTGGACAACTTGATTCAGAAAGGTGGGTTTACTGGACCCATTCTAAGCAGCTCACAGTAGAGAAGGATAAAGAGGAAAAGCCAGGCTTTGAAAAGGATGTGAATCAGAGGCGCCCCGTTAGGGGATCCTGGTAGCAAGAACTCGTGGAGAGCCTCTCTAAGATGGACTGGTAAGTTGCTCAACCTGCTTAGAGTAGGGTTTCTTATCCACGGCGCATAGAAATTTTTTTAGTGTGTCATGGGAAACAAGAAGATCGTGTGGCTAAGTGAGTTGGGAAAGCTGGTTTAAAAAGGTTATACTTCTCAAGACCTTTAGTATGAGAAAATAGATTTTAACCTTCGTGGAGGGCAGTATTTCCCAAGCTTGACTTTTTCCATGGAGCATATATCTTGAGGGCCACTAGTGTTCCAAGGAACAGAGCTTGGTGAAATGCTGATCCAGAACAGTGTGAATGAAGGGGCGCAGTGGAGAATATGTTTTAGGCTGAGTTTTTAATGCAAAGATAGGGATTTGGGGTGTTTTTCCTAGAAAATAGGGAACTTTGAAAATAGACGATCAGTGTTATACTGCAGGAATAACAATCTTGCAAGTGTCACAATACTAACATACTTAAGTGTGAGCTACAGGTACCTTCAGAACATTACCTCAGTCAACTCCAAGAGTGGGAGTTATTAGCCCAGAACACACAATTGATCGTTGATGCAATGTGCTCTTAGCAAGCTGAGGGTCAGAGGACAGAGGAAGACTCAGACACAGGCTCACGTACAAAACTGAATCAAGCTGTCCACTGACTGACGGCTGCCAATGTAAGCCTTGGTTTTAGTTTGGGATTGTAATTTAAGTCACGGTGTGGGTGAGATCACCTGGGAGAGAAGGTAAAGCAGAAGGCCCCAGAATTAGGCTGGGACAATACCAATGTATAAAGGCCAAGTAGATGAAGATGAACCTGCAAAGAATTCTCAGAAAGAGCAGCCGGTGCCACTTGAAGGCAATCAGGAAAATACTGAGATATAGAAGCCTAGGCAAGACAGTGTCTCAGAGGAAGGGACAGGTCAACAGTCCCCTGCTGCAGAGAAGTCAGGCGAGATGAAGGCTGGAAGACACTCACCAGATTTGCTGCCATGGTGGCCGTGGCAGCATGGAGGTCTAGCACTCAGGTCTCCCTTCAAGAGAAAGCCTGGCCTGAGGAGTGGCGTCACGGACAGCCTCAGCTGTGGCTGCCTTCAGGATCCGCCTCCACGCTGGAGCAAGACCACATTCCTCCAGGGCAGCCTTCAGCCAGTGACCCAGCAGAGTGGTGGTATAAGGGCTCACATTTCTGGCAAGTGTGGGTAAATTTTGCACTACAGCTCCAAATGGGCTGCCCTGGACTTGCTTTTCTTTTCTTTTCTTTTTAAGATTGGCACCTGAGCTAACAACTGTTGCCAATCTTTTTTGTTTTTAATCTTCTTCTTCTTCCCCAAGCCCCACAGTACATTGTTGTGTATTCTAGTTGTGAGTGCCTCTGGTTGTGGCATGTGGGACACTGCCTCAGCATGGCTTGATGAGCGGTGCCGTGTCTGCCCCCAGGATCCAAACCAGTGAAACCCTGAGCCGCCGAAGTGGAGCGCGTGAACTTAACCACTCGACCACAGGCCGGCCCCTGCCCTAGACTTTCTCGGAACTGCCCACAGCCCAGTGCTCTTCCTACCCTGTCCCCTCCCTTCCCTTTGTCCTTCAGAGCTGTCAGATCTGCATCACAGTCGGAGGCTCTCCCCGCCTACTCCTTCTTTCTTCCGTTCTTTCACAGATGCCTACGTTTCACAGGTCTTTATTTTTCACCTGATGAATCTCTTGTACCTCTAACTCCATCTTGGAGTCTACTTCTGGGAGAATTCACAGTACCATTGGTGACTTCAGTGAGAGATGTTTAGGGAGAGTTATGAGGCTGGAAACCAGACTAGGGTGAACTAACAGGAAGGAGGAAGTGATGAAATGGAGCCCAAGAGTATACACAGGTCAATGGAGAAGGCGTGGATGGCCCAAATGGTTTTGGCCATTTGAGAACAGAAATTTTTATAAGTATCCTGTAGTCCTCAGAAAGAGGTGAGCAGCATATAAAAGAAAATCCAAGTAATAGTGATGAATCATTTTCTCTTTTGTGGGTACATCTTTCTCAAAGTGTATTTCTTTTTGATGCCTTTCCATGAAGAAATACCCAAAGGAAAACTGGGTGGGAGCCGGCCCGTGGCCCAGTGGTTAAGTTCACGTGCTCTGCTTCATCGGCCCAGGGTTTCGCCAGTTCAATCCTAGGCACGGACACGGCACCGCTCATCAGGCCACGCTGAGGCGGTGTCCCACATACCACAACTAGAAGGACCCACAACTAAAATATACAACTATGTACTGGGGGGCTTTGGGGAGAGGAGGAGGAGGAGGGGGAGGGGAGGAAGGGGGAGGGGGAGGAGATTGGCAACAGATGTTAGCTCACGGGCAATCTTAAAGAAACAGCAAAGCAAACCTGGCTGATTAGCACCGCCTTCTCCTTTCCATTGACTGGACAGCCCTCAGCTTCCCACTTCCTTTACCACTCTCCCCAGATACTACAAAAGCTGCTTAAAAGCCCTTTAGAATATGAAAGAGATAATAAAGTGTTGAAACCTGCACTTTTCAGAAAAAAGATAGAGTGTTTTCTCCAAGAAACGCTAACTAACAGAACTTCTGGGATGCACTTCAGGTAGTGGGAAAAAGGTCCCTGATGGGCAGTCTTAGAAGCAATAAGGATCGATGAAGAAGGAAAGCAAAAATATGGGCATAAGCAGAATTACCTGTATAAAACCACCACCACAATAACGTCTTTTTAAGAGATAGAACATAATAAAAAGAGCACATAAGTTGGGAGGGGAAGCTCCGAGTTAAAACGTTCTAAGGTTGTGGGATTGTTTTGGGCGAGGGGCCAGATGCTGACGCACAGGTTTGATCGGTGCAGTGTGCCCGCTGAAATGTTTAGGGAAACCAAACAAGGAAAGTAGGCGTTCAGCTTTTACCCACGGAGAGAGAACAAGGGACGTGAGAAAAATACTCCAGCTTCCAAGGCTCGGGGAGGCCTCTCTTTCGGAGCGTGCGCCTGGTGTGTGGACTCCTGGGCCCGAGGGGCGGCCGAGGGGTAGGCGTTTGGCGGGGCCGCGGGCTTGTGCGGGCATCTCGAGTGAGCGGTGGAGCCGGTGGAGCCGTGGCAGGGAGAGAGGTGGGAGGCTGCAGGCTGGGCCTCCCAGGGCCCCCGCACAGCCTCAGCAAAGAAGGAGATAAGGACGGAAGGAGGGAGGGAGGAAGGAAGGAGTAGGGAGGAAGGTAGGCAAGTTGCTCCTCCAAAAGCGGCCACTCTGAAGACCACCGGTCCTTACTGGAAAGGAATGGCAGGGCTGGCACTGGGTAAAAGCCACCAAGGCAGGAGGAGGGTGGCAGGCACGTGGCACCCTGGGAACTTCCAGGCACTTCTGACTTGGACTCCCAGGAGCAGGAGTATGAAAGCCAGGCTCCCGGCCTCAGGTGAGGATACCCCAGGGGACAACTCGCCCTCCAGAGTCCTCTGCAGGACCCGGGAACCTACTCCAGGCAGCCATGGCCGAATCGCCCCCTGCTTGGCCTCCTCCCTTCCTCCCTGCGTCTCCCCTGGTGGCTCTTCTTTAACACAACCCGGGCACAGCAGTCCGTGCCCTGGACCGATGCGGAACTAGCCCCGGCCGAGGAACCCGGTGAGCAAAAGCATGTGCGTGTGTGTGTGCGGGTGTGGTGTGTGTGTATGCAGGGTGTGTGTGTATGTGGTGTGTGTTGTGTAAATGTGTGTGTGGTGTCAATGTGTGTGGGGAGTATTTGTGAGCAGTGGGTGTGGTGTACGTGTGTGTGCCCTGTGGTGTCAGTGCGTGTGTGGTGTATTTGTGAGCGGTGGGTGTGGGGTGCATGTGTTTGCTCTGTGGTGTCAGTGTGTGTGGGGTGTATTTGTGAGCTGGGTGTGGCGTACATGTGTTTGCGCTGTGGTGTGTATTTGTGAGCGGTGGGTGTGGTGTAGTGTGTTCGCGCTGTGGTGTCAGTGCGTGTGGGGTGTATTTGTGAGCGGTGGGTGTGGCGTCAGTGCATCGGGGGTGTCACCATTCCAGGGCCCGGAGCGCGAGGCGAGGGCGTCGGGCAGAGCGGCCGCCGAGGGCGGTCCGTGTGGTGGCGGTTCTGCGGTTGGCTGTCGACGCCCAAGAGGAGGTGCCAGCCCCAGGCTCCGCCCCCCCTCCCACGCATGCGCTCTGCTGGCCCTGGCTCCCGGGGCCCTGGGCTTGAGGAGGCGGGGCTGGAGCCGGCAGCCCGGCCTGTGAGGCCTGTGACCCTAGGGGTGCCCGTCGCTTCCAGTGTTCCGGTTGCCTCCCTCATTCCTGGGACCAGCCTCGTCACCTCCGTCACAGATCAGCACCCGCTGGCTGGCACGTCCTCTCAGAGATGTAACTCCAGCTCCTGGAGGCCACCTCCAGGCTGGGCCAGTGCCAGCTGGGGGCTGAGCTCTGGTTCCAACTCCTCAGGGCCCCTTCTCCAGGTTCTAGCACCTGGCTTCTCAAAGGCCCGCCTTCTTCCCTCTGCTCCTCGGGAACACTAGCTGCTTCCTTCAGTTACTAAATCTGCATCCCTTTTTGCCTTTCAGTCCTCCAACACCCGTTCAACCAATTCTCTCCACTAAATTGTCTCTGCTAAAATACAGGTGTGGTTTGTCTTCCTAACTGGACCCTAACTATGAGAACTCTCCCTCCCCCATTCTCCCAGAGGCTCAGGCTCACAGCATTGCTGAGTTCCCTAGCAGGTTAAGAGAGAAATCCAAATGATTTAAACTTAACTCTTATTCAAGATTACTGGTGAAAACATCACTGCAAACAAAATGAAAAAGCTCAATAATGATTAAAATTGCTTATTGAGAGAAGTCACATCATCTTGACAAAATTTTGATCGACACAGTTTGGGGAATTGAAGAGTTCCATGCAGAGGGATAACAGGATGCGTGGCGGGCTTTTGATGCGTGTTGGCTTCTTAGTGTCTATTCACACTACTGCCAGGAATGGCCTCCATTCCACACCTCTGCCACTTTCAGTCCCTGAGATTCAGAGACGGCTACTCTCCCCAGTGTGGGGGTGGGAGGGTATTCAATAACTCAGGGGGTGGGAGGGTGTTCTGTAACTCAGGCCTGGCTCCTTCCTCTAGGACTTACAGTTGGAAGCATGTGAGGCGGTGCTTCTGCTGCCATTTTGCCATTGCGTGCAGCCTGAGAATGAAGCCACCTTTTGGAGGAGAGTGGAACTAAGTGTGAGACCGAGACACTGGGCCTGGGTGATCTCCATCGAGCTTCTATACCAAGCCACGCCTAAAACCAGCCTTATACCAGTAATTTTCCTTTGTGCTTAAGCCAGTTTGTGTCATTTACATCAAAAGAGTTCTACCAGATGCAACAGATTTCTCTAGAAGACAACAAGTGAAAGATTTGAAGTCACTGCGATGGTTCAGGCCTTAGGACAGTGGTAGAAAATTGGAAAGGAAGAGGTAGAGTCAAGAGATATTTAAGAGGTAAACTCGGGAAGACTTGGTTTCTGAATAAATGCATTCCATGACATGAGAGTCATGGAAGCATCCAATGACAAAGACAGTGCTCAGATTTGGGGAGTATGGCCAATTATTAATGGTAAAATTACTGAGTTAGGAGTTAAACATAGGAGAAGAATGGTCGTAGAGTCTAAGATGAAGAATTCCATTTTGGACATGAGTGTGAGGTGCCCATAGGTCACCCAAGGCAGTCTGGTCACACCAAAGCAACTGGGTGTGAGTCTGAAACTCAGAAGAGAGGTCGGGGTGGGTGGTGCTGAAGAGTTCTGATCACACACATGCAGATCAATTAGAAGCATGACCATGAATGGAGATTGTGTGGGGTGAGACTAGCCCTAGGCTGAAGGCAGCATCCTAGGAAACAGAAAGGACAAACTGAGAAGTGGGAGCCCACTAAGGAGACCAAGAGAGGACTGACACAGGAGATGGTCACAGGAGACAGCCAGGAGCACAAGCAAGGGAGCAGAACCCTCCAGGAGGCAGTGACTTGCTACATGATGTCACGGGCCACCTCGTTCCACCTAGGAAAGCAGAATGAGTTCTTTCCTGAATACGCTGGGACCGATCAGTCCGATTTTAAACAGTCCACGCCCCTGACTTCCCTTCATCCAACTCTGCTTAGACCTTCTCCTCTTCCCGGCCACTAGCAGCTCCACTGAAAGATGGAAGGCAAAAGATACCGAGATTGGGACTCTGGCCAGGGACAGGAAAGCTTTGGGATTGCATGTGGTACGCTGTTCTGCCTCTGTTGATGAAGTGACTAGATAATGGCCGGGCAGAGGAGTTGAATCACTTTGGTCACTGGGGCCGCAGGGAGGACCTCCAGAGTGGGGACGTGGGCCGCTCCTCCTGGGACTGGAGGCAGGAGCAGCAGGCCCGGCGCCAATGGCAGGGCCTTCAGGCTGGGGTGGAGCTTTAGGCACGGAGGCGGCCTGGTCCCAGCGCAGCTGGCCTTGGTCAGGGCGGTGCGAGGAGGTGCTGAGCCCGCTGTCCTCCAGGACCGTCGCTCCGCGGCGGCCAGCGCGCCTGGCGCAGCCCCCAGGGGCGCTGGCCGAGCCTGGCTGGGGCGGGCCGCAGTTCCACCCGCCGGCTCCCCCTCCTCCCTCCGCGCCTCCCGCCTCCCTGTCGGGGCTCCGGCTCCGCGCTCGCCGGGCGCTCCGCCCTCCCGCTTCCCGCGACCTCAGTAGACGCGCTCGCGCTCGGCAGCAAGCTACGGCTGGTTTCCCAGCGGGCCGCCGGCCGGACCGCGGAGCCCGACGCCGCTCACCCCCGGGGGCCGCGCGCCGTCTGCGGCCAGGGGGGCCCTCTCGGCTCGAGCCCCCGCCCCGGCCGAGGGTCTCCTGTCACAGCCCGCCCGGGTCTGATCCCGTGGGCCGGCGGCGTGCCTTCGCGCCGGGCGATCGCCGGCTGTGTGCCGCTAGCTGGGGTATGGGCGCGGGAGGAGTTCGCGCCCAATGCAAGCTCGAGATGCACCCCGCTCCACCCGCCCATCGCAATCCAGGGATCGGCTGCCCCGCATCGCCTCCTACAGCCACCGCAAGCCCCCCCCCCCCCCCCCCCCCCCCCCCCCCATCCCCCCGCACAGCGACAATCCTCAGTGGTGGCAAGCGGCCTTCTGGAAACTCGCAGAGGGAAATTAAAACAAGCTTTACCTTACTCGAAGCGGTTTCTACATATATACACTGTCTAATTTCATTTGCCAGCCAGGCAGGAGGGGAAGGCGGGCCCGGGAGCGAGGCGGCGCTGCTGGGGAAAGGCGTGCAGGGTCCCGGGGCAGAGCAGAGCGCACGCGCCGCGCATCCGTCCATGGTCCGGCCGGCCAGAGTGAGCAGCAGCTTGGATCCCGGTGGCCGACACCATCCCATAGAGTAACACGCAAGGGAGGAGAGACCAAACAGCTCCCCTTGCCCAGACTCAGGTGGTGCCCAGGGCCTGGATCCCGGCTGCGCTGCTTGTCCCCAGGCACTCAGGCTTCGGATCAAATAACCCCAACGGACTGTTTCGCTCTCCCCCTGCCCTTTTGTCTAGCCCGCCCCACCCCCAATCCCGGCGCATATCTTGGAGGTTGAGTTAATTGTCATGAGCATTTTTATATTTGGCCAATCCCAAACTCGAACTTCTCTACTAGGCCCACATTCCTGCTCATTTAGGAGTTTAAAGGCCAAGGGAGACTATAAGGAAGTGATGTTCTGGCCTTCCCATTCTTTCAGGCCTGGCCACCAACCCAGTCCCAGGATTTGGGGGTGGCCTGTTCTGATCAGTCCAGCCCAAAGCAGGTTTCTTCTCCCTCTTTTGGACTCTGGAAGCCGCCTTGTTTCCGCCACTCTGAGAGCACCTGTCATCCGTGCCTGAGTTCCCTGGTGGGTCTTGTCCCCTTACTCACACGCCCTCCTAGGGGACACTCTAAGCTTCCTGAGACCTGCTGGTCCACCCCAACACTCCCCAGCACACCCAGCCCAAAGTGTCTATTGGACTCAGGAGCTGTTGTGCCTTTCAGAGCAACGTGGCAGCTCTGTGCGGGCTCCACAGCCTGGCTGGGTTTGCCTTCTCCTGGCAGGTCACTGAATTGCTGCCCCAGGGGATGACGTGTCTGGTGATCTGGCCTCTGGAATGTCCCAGCTGAGACATTGAGACCTCCTCCCACCTTGCTCGGCCTGCTGAACTCTGCTGACAGCATTTACCCCACGTAGAGCAGGAGGGTGAGTTTTCTATAACAACAAGGGAACTGGGGGATTTACGAGGTCTGCGTAGGACGAAGGTTGGGTTTGTTTGTGGAGAGTGGGGAAAGCTGACTGAGGAGGGAAGGCCATGAAGTTGCTGGGCAGGGCACTGAGGGCTCCATGAGATGGGTGAGCAGGATGCTGGGGGGGGCGGGGGGGGGGGGAAGGGACCACCTCAGGAGTCAGGGACCGACCTGGAAGGAACCTGGGGCTGTGCCAGGCACTGCTGAAGGGAGGCCACTCAGGGCATTGGCAGTGGGGAGAGAAGGCAGTGAATGCTGGCTGTGGAGAAAGCCAGACTCCTGGAAGCAGAGCGAGGGTGCTGGCAGGTGGCAGGGCAGGTGGGCTCTCGACATGTAAGATCAGAGTTCTTATGGAGCACAGGTTGGTATTTATGTTTTGAAAGATTAAGATCTGTTTTTGTTGTTATCAATGCTTTTATAACAGTTTTAGGAAAGAAGAAAATATATATGAATTAGCAATTATAAGCCTTCCCTTGAAGTCTTTCAGACTAGAAGCATGTCTCACTTTGCAAAAAATAAAGAAAATCCAAAGATATATGAAAAGATATATGAGGGGAGGAGACACTATTCCTATTTTAATTTGATGGCTCACTAGAATTCCCTTCGAGGCGCATAAGAAATTCAGAGACGCACGCCCCACCTTGTTTAGATAAGCTAAAGCTGTACAAAGGGAATTCAGTTATTCTTTCAACGAGATGGAGGGGCCTGTTTAGCTGACCAAAAGACATCTGGAGAAAGGGGCATTCTTGATGTCAGCTAAGAGAGAGACCAGTACAAACCCAAGAATGCCAATTGGGCATCCGTGTCAGTGACAGAAAAGCATCATATTCATATAATTAAGACTGGTCTTAAATCTGGAAATTTAGGGAATAAATATAACCACTAACAATTTGTTAACCTGCAGCAAAGCAAATAAAGTACTTATTGACACAGTATACTCAGAGAAGCAGGCTCTGTGTGGATATTTTTACAGGAACATAACTTGGGGGCCTAAAGAGCACAGGGTGGCTCCCATGTGAGCTCAGTGGCATGTCCACTGGTGTCACACGGCTCAGGGGGCTGGGGTTGCTCACTGAAGCAGAGAGGTCTAGCAGGTTGAGTCCTGCCCAGCGACAGTCTCAGACAAAACATTAGCACGTGAGAGTTACTGTGAAACTTCGAAGTAAAAGTGGGTGCCCGTGCTGAACCCTAGAGCTCCTGAGCTGGAACCTCCTGGGGACAGACCTGGGCACCTGCATATTTGGAAAAGCCTCCGCAGGGGGTTGGCTCTGACTCACCACTTTGGGGCTGGAGTCACACAGCTGCAGACTTTCTAAGGGACAGTCTGAATCTTTCCCCCTAGGGGCAGAGAGTGAACACCCAAAGGGCTGTTTCCCTACTTAAAACTGTGCAAGACCCTGTGAGGCAAGATAGCCCTCCCAGAATTGCCCTTTAACAAAGAAAAAGTGTGACGCTCTTCCCACCTGCCACAGACACCATGTGGAGCCAGCACTGGGGGGCCAGTGCACAGGGCTGTCACTCAGGGCAACTGCAGTGTCACCAGTGCCAAGACATGCACCTGAGCCTGTGAGCCTCCCCACAGCACTGACTGGAGGATGCTCTGCAAAAGCAGGTGGAGATGAAACCGGGAAACAAGGGCACATCCGCGAGGGTTGAATAATTAGGTGAGGAGCCTAAGCGCTGTGCACTCTGGGCTTCCTGAAGGCAGCACACCTCACAGGACCATATAGGCTCACTGACATCCTTGGGGGTCCCTGACCCACTGTTAACTGGGTTCATGACACAGTCACCATGAAGCTCTACTCCCTCGGATGTAAAAATTGATCTTTGAGGCAGGCAGTGACTTTTGGATTTTTGCAGACTAGTAAATGTCAAAACTTTTGGGAAGTGACATAGTTATCAACTTTTATATCAAGTAAGGACAATGTAAAAGACTAAAAACTATGATCTACTATCATCATTTTATTAAAAGACGGCTATTTTAATATCATGAAGGATAACGTCAGAATTTGAAAACAACCCTCTACTGCCCTTGGCTGTCTCATTTTCTGTGGACTGAGGAAAGTTTGTCACCAGCTCGTCTCTGCAAACTGGGGCTCCTTTGCCTGAACACTGAGGGCATCTGCACGGCCTGCAGGTGGAAGTCTACTCAGAAGTGCTGCCAGGGCTCTAAGGGCACCCTGAGGAAAGCAAGTGCAAAAGTCTCTCAGTATCTTGCCTCAGTTTCCAATATTAATAACTGTGTGCTGAGTGCTAGCAGCCAGAAACGGTACTATTGCTTTAAAGAGAAGTAAAAAAGACAAGTTGTGGCAAATAGAATCATGAGAACCTGAATCTGGAAGGTTTTTACTAATGCTCTCACCCCTGTGGTTTTCAGGTTAGCGCTCCACGGAGCTCCAGCAGTACTGCTGGAACCAATGCACCTCCGTTTTGTTTCAAATAATTGAGCTTCCAATTACGATAGAGATCGATTGCTTAAAAAAATGCTTGAACACACTGAGCCAGTACACCTCAAATTTAAAGGGGAAAGTGAGGCTGAAAGAAGCCCTGGGATTTGCCTGGAGCCACCTATTTAGTTGGCACAACTTGGCAGCACACCACCAGTGGGGTGGGGTAGGAAGGATTCCTATTGTCGACCTTTCATAGTGTCTGTTCCCACGTCCATCAATGGCTGAGGCAAATCTTCCCACTGCTCCACTGCAGGGAAGGTCAAGCGTCACAGCCTCCCTTTTGGAATGTTCTGACTGGTTCCTTTCCATACTGGACTCTCTGCTCTGTTTGGCACTGTTCCTGCATGATAATAATGACAGACGTTTCACTGACAACTGCTGGAAACTAATTTTTAAACTCCAGGTCTGTATTTTTGCTCTCATTTTGACTATCACTGATAAAAATCTCTTAATAGTATTCCAATATATTTGAAGAGTATAGAACTAATATTTGTATGAATATCATTTTATGATTCTAAGGTTATGTCTATGTAAAAATTGTAAAGGTATTTTATTTTTTGAAAGATCTGCTTTTATTAAAATGTCTGAACTCTACTGTCTGGTATCTAAACTGAGATGAAGAGGTCTCTACTTGCTTGTCTGGGCTCCTCGGCCAGCTGATCACACAGCAGGCTGGCAGCGTTTACATGTCGAGTCTACCCGAGACTGCACAGCATATTCACTTGGTAGCAAGCTCCTCACTGCTGAAATGTAGTATCTGATAAGTCTGGACACAGCTCAGCTGCAAGCAGCAAAAAAAAAAGACTAACTCTATATGACCTAAAACAGTGATTTTCAAATTGTGGTTCCCAATCATTAGTGGCTCATGAAATCAATTTAGTGAGTTACGAGGGCATTAAAAAACACACAAAGACAAGAGCTAAAAGTGCAACAGGAGAGAAAATATCAAAGAATGCTGCATGCCTTAAGGGGAAATACCATTTCATAAACATTTTACTTCAATCATATATATATATATATTAACCCATATATACTGGGTCATGATATAAAATATATTCCACAACCCTCAACATTATCCTAGAGAAAAACATACTTGGCCATTCAGTCCCTTGAGAAAAGATTTCTTTCTTTCTTTTTTTAATTTTTATTTATTTATTTTTTTAAACTTTTTTTTTTTAGATTGGCATCTGAGCTAACAACTGTTGGCAATTTTTTTTCCTGCTTTTTCTCCCCAAATACCCCCAGTACATAGTTGTATATATTTTTAGTTGTGGGTCCTTCTATTTTTTTTCCATTTCTGAGCAATGGCTCCATATCCTGGGTACTCTGAAGCCCCTCTCCCCTCAACACAGTAACAACGATCCCTGAGACCCACCATTTCCCGGTTCACTGCTATTTTCTCCCCTCATGGCCCAGGGAGCTCAACTGAGCAGAAGGTGCCACAGCATATCGGAATGTGGGTCAGGAGAAGCCCTGGGGGCCTGCTGCCAGGTGTCAGGCACGATGCCAGGGGCTTCACGACACCACTCGTGACAGATGTGGTCTCCTTTCTGCTTCCTGTAGCCGTGCCTCACCTGTACTTCTTGAGCTCCTAACGCAGTACACACAGGGGCTGAGTGAATGTTTCCAAATAAATGGATTCAACAGTGAGCACATTCCATTGGTTATAAACTATATAAACTAAATTCAACAAAATATAACATTTCAGATAAAATCAAATGTTTACTAATTTCTTCATACTGAAGAAATACAAAAGTACTATACAAAGCTTTACTTAGATTGATTAAATCATAATAGTTGTATAAAAATGGCTAATGGTAGTAATTATATTACTTCAGTGTCATATTTCATACGGTAAAGTTATACAACATTAACCCTTTGATTTTGAGCAGTTATAAACTTACTATTTTAACACAACACCATATCTTCTGTCATAGTAATTACTTTCATCTAAAATAATTTAATAATAGTAGTATATGATACGGAGGGAAAAAGAAAACAGTTCACTTAATAATTTTCCAAATGCTAGTAAGAAAGAAACACATCAGTCACAGCTGCTTTGGCGGGATGGCGGACGAGCGAGCATAATTTGGCCTGTGACTTAACGGACGTGGGAGAGTGAACCAAAGCTTTTTAAACTGGAAGGACACTCATGTTGATCGAGCTCAAACCCTTCATCGTTCATATTAGGAAATGGCTGCACACCAGGTAAGTGACTTTCCAAGGTGACATAATTACATAGTAAGAGAAAGGACCCAGGTCTCCTGAAAACAAACATAGAATCTTTTCCATTTCATAGGAGAGGTTTATACTATAAAAAAATCATATTTTTTAAAAGATCACATCAGTTATCAAGGAAAACAAATACATGATAACATTTTAGACTTTAAAAAAAATGCTAGAGCAAGCGTTGAATAACAGTACCTGTTGACAACTGTGTTCAAGGTAGCATGGTGTGGAATACAGTGTTGTAACAGTGATGGCAGAAGGCCACTGGTTGTCGTAAGTCATTTCTATGCTTACATATCACTCCTGAGTATTAGTTGTGTTTTCATCTGTGTCATTTGAGTTAATTATTTTCCATAGAAAGTTCTCATTTGATTTCCAAAGCGAAGTTTCTAGCTGTTCTTTCCTTTTGGAGGATGCAGCAGGGGGCACTTTCTCACAAAGAGTCTCTATCACCGCCAAGTCGGTGAGTTTACTAAGACTGTCATCGTTCTGCTCATTCAAGATGTCCCAGAAATCTTTTGGTCTCTGTTTTGCTTTTTCCATGGGCCCTGAAAGAACTTTTTTTGGCAGTCGTGTGGGACTGTTCCCGTGACTTTTAAAGAGGTCATCAAGAATAGAGGTGTCACCGAGTAAGCCTACCACAGAAGTGTTTCCTAACATGGAATTTTCTATTTTTTTGTTTTCCTCTTTGAAAAGGGGTCCATTTCTGGAAATGCCAGTTCTTGTGAGGTCCTGTTGGTCTTTCACAGTATTTTCTAACTTACTTTCATATGCTTCAGACTTTCTGTTCAGGGAGCAGGATGGCACGGTGTTTTTGGACGTGTGGCTGTTTTTCCCATTGTTGGGGTCTTGGGTGGAGCTAATAGGTGATTTCTTAGTTTCTGCATCATCAGAAAGCACCTCTTCTCTACAGGAACCATGATTTTGAAACTTAATTGATTTTCCTGTATATATTTTTGGCCTGCAAATTTGAGAATAATTTTTGGTAGAATCTTGAAATGATGAAGTTTCAGAATCTGACAGTCTTTCTTCTATAAGAGATTCTCTTTTTTCAGACTTATTCCTGACTCTCTCTCCCTCCTCATAGGCAGATTTAATGAATTCTGAAGCAGAATCCGCAAAAAATTCTTTCACCTCTGGATACTGAGAAGCATAAAAATCTCTTAGCATTTTCTGTCGTTCTTCTGATGTGGCATTAGTTATATGTTTAGCAAATTCCTTTACAGAAGACAAGTTAAAATAACAAGCCATTTCTTCGAATTGTTTTCTGAAGATTTAACAAACAAACCAGTGGTTATTTTTATTACATTTTATTTTTAAAGAAGTTTTCATCAGTGATATGAAATGTAGACAAAGCAATGTAATCTTTCTTATTTAGCATATATTAGCTTAATTCCATAATGAAAACACATTTTACACTAGCAGAATGTGACCTCTTTCCTTATGCTACTGAAGAAAATATTTTAGCTTATGAAATCACCAGCTTTTTTTAAGTTATTCTGATTTATACTATTAGGTATTTCCTGGGAATAGTGGGATCCCAGCATGCTACTCCTCCAGTCAGCCAGTTTATGACTAACATGAGAATTATAACTTATATAATTTGTATTTGGAAATCTATATTGCATTCAAGTCCCATGAAATAAAATTGTCAAAGAAGGGTCTTAATGAATAGAAAAGAGAAAATTCTGAAAGGTTAAGAAGGGAATTTGTTTCTTCTCTCTCCTTTTTTTCCTTCTTCCACAAATACAACATAGAAATTTCACCAACTTTTTGATGAGCCTAAAGGAAAGTTCTAAACTGATAAACCTAGATTCTTACTTCCTCCAATTGGTCTGGCTTCAGTATAGGCAACTAAACTAAGAAGTGAGATGCTATTTGAAGAAGTGAGCTTCATTCTTAGTCTAAGATACTAATAAAAGCTCTTATGTACATGTGTGAGGAAATGGGCCTTCTGGAGCCTGGTAAGATGCAGACATTGTCATTCTTAGTCTAAGATACTAATAAAAGTTATTATGTGCATGTGTGAGGAAATGGGCCTTCTGGAGCGCTGGTAAGATGCAGACACTGTTTTGGGACTCTGGGTGCTAGACTCTGCTCCTTTCCCTGGGTAAGGGTGCTGTGGACCGCATTGTGTGCCCCCTCCCCACAATTCCTATGTTGAAGACCTAATTCCCAATGTGACTGTATTTGGAGATGGGGCCTTTAGCAGGTAACGAAGGTTAAACAAGGTCACAAGAAGTCACCAGAGAGCTCTCTCTCTGCCACATGAGGACACAGTGAGAAGGTGGCCATCTGCAAGCCAGGAAGAGAGCCCTCACCAGGAACCACATCAGCTGGCCTCTTGATCTTGGACTTCCCAGGCTCCAGAACTGTGGGACATTCCCGTTGTTGCAGCCGCCCAGTCTGTAGTGTTTGTTACGGCAGCCTGAGCTGACTGTGACAGCGGGGACTGCTTTGCTGATGCTCAGTTTGGGCCGTGAGGCAGGAGAGCCCACTGTTTGTAAATGTTCCCTTAAACAGAAGCCATAGATGGTGTTGCAGCACATGATTAAAAGTCCCCCACATTTAGAATTATATCTATATTTTACATAATATTTCCTTAAAACATTCATTTATTCAACAAATATTTGTAGAGCCCTCTTATGTGCTACACATTGTAGTTAGAACTATATAACAGTGAACAAGCCCAGTTCCCTATCTTCAAGGAGTTTATAGTCTAGTTGGGGGAGACAGATGTATGAAAATCAAATCAGAAGAGTGATAAATCCCGTGATGGAGGTGAATACAGGGCCCTGTCGGCTCCCACAGAAGGGGCAGCTAAGCCAGTGACTGCAGTGGCCAAGGCAGGTAGGGAAGGCTTCTCTGCCGCCACCTCAACCTGTCAGGTAAAGATGGGTGAGGAAGCTTCTAGGCAAAAAGGGACATGCACAGGTCCAGGTCTGGGAGGCCTTGGTGCACAGAGGGCCAGGGGAAACTGCCAAGGCAGAGGCTGAAGAGCATCAGGGCTTCGTATGCCAATTTCAGAAGTCTGAATTTTATCCTGCACACAATAGAGAATCCTGAGGGTGAAATAATGATTTTTAAAAATTGTAGGTGAGTAGGAGCTTTAAAGCCACTATTATTCTTGCCACCAGACCAAGTTATATAAAGTTTGCATTTCCCTTCATTTTCATGGCAATTCATGCTGCATGCTCATGACTTTCCCCTGTGGCTTCAGATGAGCCCCATGGCTTCTGGTCCGCACCACACTGGTCCTGTGAACTGTTCCAGATCCAGATACCATCTATGCCTGATCAACAGCCACTCTCACTGCCCATGGAATATTTAATATTGCAAACACAAGCTTCCAAATGTCTGTCCTGGAAATTGCCAATGTATTTCTTGGAAGCAACAAGCATGTTCTTAAAAGGGTCCAGTTTTCACTTCACATGAAGTAATGAGGTATTGTTATTTTATTAATCATCTCCAAATCCATTTTCATGGCCTTTCTAATAAATATTTGTGCTGTAAAGATTAAATTATTGGCAAGGTTACAGGCTCACATCTTTTATTTAGCCAAGACTTGGTGGTGTTCCAGCAGCTGCCCATGGCCTGCTGCCTTTGCTGTGCCGACCTTGCCTGTGACCTGCCACCCTGTCACTTCTGGAGGCTGCTGCTCCTGATGCCATCTTATCTGAGTTGTGTGCAAGTGTATTATGCTGCGTGGTTTCTCTTTACAAGAGGAGTTAGGATTATAATTCATTTTGTTTTGGCCTTCTAACTCACTTTCATAATTCTTGATCTTTAAAAGAATTTTCTCTAAAAATTTAAGGAACTACAAGGTCCAAAGAGGTGGTATAAGCTAGGCACTTTGTGAGGGAAATTTAGTAAACTAGATACTCATAAGCCACTTAGAGAAAGAAAAAAAATAAAGGAAACCATAGATAGGTATCTTTCAGCAACCCTATCAAGAGCAGTTCTGCATTGTGGACAAAATTCAATTTCTCTCCCCTTTTCTTGAGGAACTGGGGGAGAAGGTGTGGAGCAGCGCTACAATCATCTCCTTTCCACCTAAACTTTCTGCACGGAAGGCAGCACTGAGAACTTCACTGAGAGGACCCACGGGGCTGCAGCATGGCACAGAGCACAACGGTTAGCAGGAAGGAGTGTAAGCTGGCCAGACACTGTCCCCTAGCGCAGATGTTGGCATTCTAATTAGATGCCCTTCACCTTTTCACTTAGCAGGAGGCATTTATTCCCTAGACTGGATAGAGAAAAAAGGAAGACAAGCTAAAACTAATCATTGTTAATACTTGTATTTTTATATACAATGCTAAAGGGAATGAAGTCCGTGTTCCTCAAAGACTGGTAAGATGTATCTGGTTGGCCTCCAAGAAAAATAATTGCCCAAAGTAAAAAGGCACACCCAGCAAAAACCATTGTTGTAATTCTGTTTGTGAGGAGATGCGTTGCTGTCGCAGTGTAGGGTGTTCACCTTTCTGGGCAATGGTGGGCAGCTGAGAGCCACACTGCACACAGGTGAAGCTGAGGGACCAGCCCTTCCCTGGGCAGCAAAGGGGCTAGTTGCCTGGGAGTTGCCAAATCCCTGAGGGAAGCGCTTGGAACCCACAGAACTATCACCATTTTCCCACTGTCCATGGAGGCCCTCAGGACCAATTTGACCCTGCTTTCCATCCCTGCTTACCTCAGTCATTATTCCTCAGTTACCCATCGCCATTGGCCTCTCATCCCTGGCCTCTCATCCCCTCCTAGTCTCTCCATCTCTGATCTACTCCAAACCCCCATCTAACCCTTCCAAACCATTCCTTGGTGCCCCTGGAACCAGGCTATGATCTATCAACTCCCCTGTGTCTTCTACCTGAATGGTCCCTCTGTCCCCTCATGATATTGCCTCCTCCCATGCAGCCCTTGCAAGTCAAGGCTCTTATAACTCACACCCTAAAACCTCAGGATTCATACTTCACATTGCAGATTCCAGACTATTATTTTCTTAAAAACTCCTTCCCCTCCTTAAGGTTTATACTATCCAGCTAAACCATTCTCTCCCCTATTTTGTTAACTGACCCCTTAGTTGCTTCCTGCTGGTGACTGAACACTCAAGATCCTGGATTAATGTTGCTTCCTACCCCATCTCTTGCCATCGTTCTTCATCATTATCATCAACATCCATGTGGATGTTGCACCCAACTCCTGGCCCACCAGTTTCTTTCCCTCACCTCCAAAGACTTAATTCCATGTCTGACCCCTATTCCCAAGGCCATATACTGCCACTGTCATTACCATTAACTGAACCACCTCCAAATCCCTGAATTCCATCATTTCATGCTCCAGCTCCACTGCTCAATTACCCTCATGACAACAATGAAGGAATATACTTTGACCTCATCGAGCCTTCCAATTCAGTGACTCTTCTGCTTTCTCACTATCATCAACTTCCCCTTCTTCAGCTTAGGTTCACTTTTATAATCACTCCTTTGCAAACATCCTTCAGCTTACTTGCTTCTCTCCCAGCCATCTCCCTGTTTTGTGTGTGCAACTGAAGTTTGCTGAATGAAGTCTGCACAACTGCACAGATGGTTTTACTGGAATTACTCTCAAACAGGGACTTACTACTAGCCAGGAATTCTAGTCTCAGTAAACTTGCTTTCCTACTTTATAAATGATTTATTTCATAACTTCTTTCTCTGTAAATCTCTCTCCTCTGAACTGATGACTTTAATTCCGAATTAATTGAGGAAATATCCATATTCGTGCTGTCTTTGTTCCTTCTCTTTCGATGCCCCTCAAAGGCTTTACCTCGCCAGTGGTCTGGATCTCAGCGTCTCCGCCTCCAAGACTTTACTTGCTCTGTTATCACCTTCCTGGCCTGATATCTTTTTCCCTATCAGTCTGTTCCCTCAACACACAAACAGGTTCTATTATCTTCCCAACTTAAAAAAACCTACCTTTGACTGCACAATGCCCTGCAGCTCCTGCCACTTTTCACATCTAAACTTAAAGAGCTGTCAGGTTGGCCCAGACACTGCAAGCCCCCCTCCCACGGGCCTCTGTCTACTCAGACTGCTCACACTGAGGCAGCCAGCGAGCTCTCTGCTGTAGCTCCCGGAGGCACTGCCACTTCACCTGGTCTGGCTCTCAGCAGCATTCCATAAACTTCAGCGCTCCCTCCTTTTTGAAACTCTCCCTTCTCTTGGACTTCAGGACCTTGCATTGTGCCTCTTACCCTGTGCGCCTCTGTCGCCTCCAGGCTCAGGCCTGCGGCTTCTCTCCCCCTCAGTGTGCTGTTCCTAGGCTGTTCACACAGTCCCATGGCTCTAAAAACCATTTATAATCTCTGTGCTGACGACTTCCAAATTTAGATCTCCAGTTCCCGAGTCCCAGAGTAGCATATCCACTGCCTATTTGACATTTCCACAGAAGCTCAAATTTATTATGAGCAAAAGAGAACTCCTGATTTCTTTTTACTCTAAACTTGTTTCTCTCCTAGTTTTCCCCATTCAGTAAATCCAATATGTTGCTCCAGACAGAAAGTTGGGAGTAATCCTGTCTTCTCTTTCCCAGCAACCAGCCCAACACCAAACTGCATTCATCCATTTGACTCTATCTCCATGGCAAACACTCCATGGCAAACCACCATCATCTAGTTCCTTAAGGCCAACCCTAGTCCACTCTCCCTCTTCCACACAGAAGCTGGAGCAATCTTCTAGAAACATAAGTCAGATTATGTCATGCTTCAACAGCTTTCCACTGCACTTGGAATAAAATGCAAACTATTTCGTATAATCTACAAGGCTTTGCATGCTCCGGCCCCATCTACGTCTCTAAATTCATCTAATGCCACTCTCTGCTTGGTTTACTATGCACTCAGTATATCAATCAGTCTTCTTTTGGTTCCTCGAATCTCTTTCCTCCTCAGGAATGTTCTTACTCTGCTTCTTTGCCTGGTTATCCTTCAGGTCTCAATTTAAGTCTCCCCTCTGTAGACAGACAGTTCTTTCCTGACTACTCAAGATTAAAGTAGTTCACCCCTCCCGATCCCATTATTCTCTATCAAGGAGGCCTGTCCCTTTCTTTCTTATAACATACCACTTTATAATTATTTTATTTTATTTTTTGAAGATTGGCCCTGAGCTAACATCTGTTGCCAATCTTCCTCTTTTTCTTTTTTTTCTCCCCAAAGCCCCAGTACGTAGTTGTATATCCTAGTTGTAGGTCATTCTAGTTCCTCCATGTGAGATGCCACCAGTGGCTTGATGAGCAGTGTGTAGGTCCACGCCAAGGATCCAAACCCATGAACCCTGGGCCATCAAAGGACAGCATGCGAACTTAACCACTCGGCCACAGGGCAGCTCCTTTAATTATTTATTTATAAGTTTTTGTACTTTTGAAAATTTTATGGTTTGATGCCAACCCCCATCCCACTGCACTGTAAGCTCTATGTCTTTTTTACACCGTATATTCAGCACCCAGCACAATGCCTTGGTGCGTATTAGGTACTTCATAAATAATCAATGAATGAATATAATGCACTTCAGAGTTTCATTTATCTATATAAAATGACTTCACTTTTTTTTTAATCACTTGAGGGATTAGCCTTCTAAAAACATCTAAAACACCTGGAATTTATTTTTAAAGTGTACAAATTCAGATTTTTCTGAAATATTCAAATGCTAGGTATGGTTAAAATTCAAATAATTTCTGTAATTTACTAAGGAGTTATACTTGAGAATTATTCAAAAAGTCTGTCTTGTTATAGACGACATACCTGCGGACCCCTTTTGGCGTCTCCCCAATTATGAAGGTGGTCTGGTCTGTACGGTAGACTCCTTTCTTCTTCTGGCTTACAGGGTGTGAAATGTAAAGGGGAAGTGAAATGCCTCCTTCACCTGGTTGTTGGCTTTTCTTTGTATGTGTCAATGTATCTGCCTTCATTTTTTCTTTAGATGTCTGAAAATAGGGATAGAAGCAAAAACTAAGTCTGAAAAAAATAGTCATTTTTGGTCAAATAAGGAGACTGTCTTACTTTTTCCAAATACTCTTTATAATCAAGTATATCATGTTCTCCAACTGATATCATTGTCATAAGATGTTAACCTAGATCTTTAAAAAGAAGATATTTGGAAGAAATTATATCTTTCTTGAAGATATAAAAGTAATGAAGTATAAAGCATAAAAGTATAAAGATATAAAAGTAATGGCAATATGTTTCTATTTTATCTATTATTTAAGATATATATGAAAGATATATCTTTCTTAAAGATATAATGAAAGTAATGGCAATATGATCTTTCTGTTATCAAGACTGTGGGTATACTCATACACATGCTGACATCCATTATCTTAAATAAGGATAAAAATTAATGATTATATAAATAAGGGCATAAAAATGAGATATTTGAAATTTTTAAATTCAGTAAGTTCTTTCACTCTTATTAAGCAGCCTTTCAGTTATTTAATTTTACATAAGTAGTCAGACTTTTATGTGATAATTAAATAAGAAACCATTTCCATAAATGCTACTTCAATCTCTCCTGGGCTGCAAGCATACTTAGTGATTCTAAGATGCTAATTACAGTTGGTTGAAATTATGGATGGAATCGTATTTATTTTACAGACTACAGGTTGTTTAACATAAATTGTTAAAAACAGTGGGTCAAGAAAAACATTTTTTCAACTGTATGGTTCCAATGTACAGTGAATATGTGGAAAGTCCCCATCCCATCCCTAAAAGAGAAATACTGGATACAATTTCACAACAGCAGCAACAAAATTATATTTGAGCTCAAAAGTGAGAAAGGAAAACCTCTAAGTGCCAAAAACAAAGAAGTAACATAGTGGTGAGTGGGAGCTGCAGCTCAGCAGTCCCCAGGGATAGGGTCTTAAGTTACAGTCTGCAGGACCCCATGTTAGAGGGGAGACAGAAATGATTTAACTCCCAGAATTGAAAAAAAAAAAACAAACGGGCTGGCTTGGTGCCATAGTGGTTAAGTTTGCATCCTGTACTTTGGCAGCCCGGGGTTCACAAGTTCAGATCCCAGCGTGGACCTACACACTGCTCATCAAGGTATGCCATGGCAGCATCCCACAAAACAGAGGAAGATGGGCACGGATGTCAGCTCAGAGACAATCTTCCTCAAGCAAAAAGAGAGAGATTGGCAACAGATGTTAGCTCAGGGCCAATCTTTCTCACTAACAAAACAAAACAAAACAAAAAACACAGCAGAAATTAAAAGGATATCCAATTTGAAAATTAAAGCTAGGAAAGCCCAAGCTGGGGATACAGGATAGAAGCAGGCCACCTTCTCACTCAAGATAGAAAGAATCACTGGTGAATACGTGGAACGCCCAGCCTGTGCCACTTGGGGAATCCGATTTTGTAGCACCTGGGTGGTATGGAAAAATCTAAAACTAAAATCTGAAAACTAATGTGAAAAACCAGCCCAGAACCAGTGAAAACCACAGATCTCAATGAGAAGTGAATACAGAAACATTACCATAGGAATACTTCCATAAATCCAGAGAAGGCTTGTGATTCCAATGGGGGTAAAAAGAGTTCAGGCAAAAGCTATAAAAAACATAGACAACCCACCACCGTGAAAGTGGGCAGATGCAACACACGTGAGAATCCATATCTGCGGGATTATAGGTAACAAAACAATCAGTGAGACTTTAAATCATTAGCATGTCCAGAAAGGTAAAGGAAGAAATAGAATCCATCGGTGAGAACTGGGTGCTATCTAGGCAGATCTGAGAAAGAGACAAATTCAAACTCGAAAAGGAAACAGTTTTGAAACAAAAATAGTGATAGAAATAAACTCAAAATATGAGTTAAGCAGCAGACTATACCGCCCTACAATGATAGTTGATAAATTGGTAGAATAAAATTACTCAGAATGCAGTGCAGAGATTAAAAACAGAGAACGAGAGAAAGAAAATAAGAAAGGGAAATTAACAGACAGAAGACATATATAAATTTCTAAAGTACCAGAATGAGACAACAGAGAAAATGGTAGAGATAATACCAAAGAGATAATGGCAGAGAATTGAAGAAGGCATGAATCCTTAAACTGAAAAAGGAGAGAGAATCTCTAGTAGGAAAACTGAAAATAAATCTGTACCTTGTTATATCACAGATAAAGTGAATATCTTAGAAACTTCTAGAGAGAAAAGACAAGGTATCCCACAAAGAAATGATAATCAAACTGCAGGGAGACTTCCCATAGACACCACCACCACCACCACCACCAGAAGATAACGAGAAATCTTCAACATGCAGGGAGAAAAACTGTCAGCCGAGAATTCTATACCTAGTGAAACTATCATTTAAGAAATTTCCAAACATACAGACTACAAGAGTTTATCAGACACAGACCCTTGCTGATGAGATAACGATTTTTATTTTATAGGAGGTCAGCAGGATGGAAGTGGCACATACCACTAACTGTGGGTAGGAATGGCTTTTGTTCCACAAATATCTACTGAGCACCTATTTTGCTTCTACTGCCATGCCATGCAGTTGAGAATGAAGATATTTCCATACAAAAAGGCCCCTACCCTTAAGGGACTTAAAAGTGACAGGCCCAATTTTTGCTTTTTTAAGATGGCAAATTTAGTTTTTTTCTTTTTTTAATAAATCATTTATTTCTTTAACTTATATTCAGGTTCATTTTCTTGAAATAAACTGAACATAAGATAAAACATAAAGCATAACTATATATTTTTTAGTAGCAAATAATTTCTTTTTTTTTTTTTTAAAGATTTTTTATTTTTCATTTTTCTCCCAAAGCCCCCCGGTACATAGTTGTGTATTTTTAGTTGTGGTCCTTCTAGTTGTGGCACATGGGACACCACCTCAACGTGGCCTCATGAGCGGTACCATGTCCGCGCCCAGGATTCGAACCAGTGAAACCCTGGGCTGCCGCAGTGGAGCGCATGAACTTAACCACTCGGCCACGGGCCTGGCCCCAGCAAATAATTTCTAATGGAAATAAACTGACTTCTTCAAAACATACTGTCACTTAGATGGACAAGCACAAAATGCCAGGTGGCTAGGTTGAACCAGGGCTTTGTATCAGTCAGTAATGTTAAAGGTATTTTCCTAAGACATCATTTCTTAAATCCTAAAATATTATTAATAAAGAGAGGAAAATGCTGATCTTTAAAGATAAATTTGAAAGAGATTTGATGCATTAATTTTACATCATGAGAAAACAAGATGAATGTTAAAAGTTCCTAATAAAAAGGCTCATCATCTTGGATGATCCTCAAGAAACAGTTATCCATTATTGTAAGGAGAGACGGGAATGTTTACATGAGGCAAAGGGAGTAAACAGAAAGAGAGGAGCTGGGCCAGCCAAGAACTCTCCCTCCCATATACTGCATTTCTGAGGCCATGGAGACATCATGCCAGGCAACAGCAATTTTCAATTATTTACATGATTACTCTGGGTCTTTCTGACACTGGCAGCATTACAAAGCTCACGTTTCATAAAGATACATTTTTCTTAAATCAGTTTTATAAATTCTTCAGGAAAATCCAGCTTTCCCAACCACAGATATCAGACATATGGATCTTTAATTTTTGTGAAATATTCTACATTTAAAACCTGATTATTTTAGACAACAATAAAAAGGGAAAAGCATTCTTCTCTCACATGGGCTCAAGATCCTATCTTTTATTTAAAAAATCTATCTAGGTTCAGATTTCCATTTTAGTAGGGTACTTTAACATTTTACAGAAACAATGCTGTGAAACAAAGTTTTGTTTATTAATTAATTTAATAAACATTTTGGTGCTCTTCTTATAAAAGCTGGTTTCGCTACATCACAGCAAAACAGCATCCTTTACAATGGCTGATACCAAAAAAACAGCGCCATAGTGCAGCTGCAATTGTGGTGACAGTTGTAATTTATTATAGAGCAAAGTACAAGGCCCGTGGCCCAGATGAAAAGATTCCAGATGATGTGAATTGCACTCAAACTCATTCATTACCACTTATTTCAAAGCTATGAAGTCAGATGACACTGAGGCAATGCCATGAAGTAGCAACAGTATCGAAGGCTCAGGTAACGGACAATTCAGTAAGATGAGCTGGATTAGGAATTTAAAAGAGAATACTGTCCCTCCTTAACATTAGGATAGAGGGTGAAGTTGCTTGCTCAAAAAAGCAAAATAAATCCACTCCTCTTTCCCCTAGAAAGTAGAAGGCCAACAACTGAAACACTATGTCTGTATTTGATAGCAAATTTTGTGATCATGACATGAAGAAAGCAGTAATCTCAGTTTCTGCAAAAGTCCCTAACTGTTCCTAACTTTTTCTCTAAAAGTTTCTGCAAGATTATCCACCTCGATTTGCTTTGAAGAAGGACCTCTGCAGTCTGTGATTTTGATGACGTTTTTCTTCATCTTAAGATTCATGGTTATAAGAAGAAGGAAGGAAGTATGAAGATAAGAACTTTGGATAGTATTTGTATAGTATAAATATTTCTGCTAATAAGTGTTTACAAAGCTCGACGCTGTCAGAGTATAATTTATAACTTATTGCCATGTTCATGATTATATTTCCATAGGTTATTGAGTAGTATTAGGTATTTCCACAATAGTTATTTGTATGAAAAAAATCAAACTCAACTTATGGAATCCATATTAAAAATAAAACTGAATAAGTGTAAGGAATGTAGTAATCATTTCTAAATAATGTAAACATACAGTTAAAAACTCCACTTGATGACAAGATTAATTGAATGGAAATGGGCGCTTACTTAAGAAGCTGAACTTATCAGAAAATACTGCAGTAATAATTATAATTTATGACTAGTAATATACCTTGCTCCTCTGGACGTAGGTATACTGTAAGGAGCAGTCGGTTCAGAATTGAAAGAGTAAGGGGAAACTCTATTCAGACCACGGTTAAAGGGGTCTAGAAAGGGAGAAGGTGGGCTATGGC